GCTCGATCTTCCTTCCCTTCCAAGGAAAGAAGGGGGATGAGGAGGAGGAGCATGAGGAGGAGGAGCAGGATGAGCAGGAGGAGCAGGAGGAGCAGGAGGAGGAGGCATCGTGACGACAGAGCCAGCAGCATCGAGGAGGAGAAGGAGGAGGAGGAGGAGGAAGAATTGGGGGGAGTATGTGGATGAGGCTGAGGATGAGGATGATAATAATGATGATGCTGATGATGCTGCTGATACTGATGATGATGCATATTATGATGGTGACGGTGCTGCTGATGATGACGTTGATGATGCTGATGATGCTGATGCTGATAGCGACGATAATGATGATGATGCTGTTGATCATGATTATGCTAATGCTGATGATGCTGATTATGATGATGATGATGATGCTGATGATGATTACTTATATGATGATGATGATGATGATGATGATGATGATGATGATGATGATGATGATGATGATGATGATGATGATGATGATGATGATGATGATGATGATGATGCCGATGCTGCTGATGGTCGTGCTGATGATGATTCTGCTGTTGATGATTATGATGATGGTCATGATGCTGATGATAATGCTGATTATGATGATGATTATTCTCTTGCACAGGGTGTCTAGAGCTCCGACCACTTTATTTCGGCACGGCACCCCCTCCATCGCCCACACATTCCAACAGCCAGCGCGCCCCTCCACCCCGACCCCTTTATTTCGGCACGGCACACCCCCCCGCCCCGACCCATTTTTTTTCGGCACAGCACACCCCTCCACACCCCCCCGCATCCCCGCCACCCACCAGCCAGCGCGCCCCTCCGCCCCGACCCCTTTATTTCGGCACGGCACACCCCTCCGCCCCGGCCCTGTTTATTTCGGCACGGCACACCCCCTCCGCATCCCTCCCACCCACCAGCCAGTGTGCCCCTCCGCCCCGACCCCTTTATTTCGGCGCGGCACACCCCTCCGCCCGGGCCCTTTTTATTTCGGCACGGCGCACCCCCTTCGCATCCCCCCGCCCACCAGCCAGCGCGCCTTGCCCCGACCCTTTTATTTCGGCACGTCACACCGCCTCCGCATCCCCCCACCACCAGCCAGCGCGCCCCCCCGCCCCGACCCCTGTATTTCGGCACGGCCCCCTTCCGCATCCCCCCACCCACCAGCCAGCGCACCCCCTCCGCCCCAACGTTGTTATTTCGGCACGCCCACCCCCCCCGAGCGCTCCCTCCGCCCCGACCCTTTTATTTCGGCACGGCACACCCCTCCGCCCCGACTTTTTTATTTCGGCACGGCACACCCCTCCGCCCCCCCCCCGCCCACCAGCCAGCGCGCCCCTCCGCCCCGACCCTTTTATTTCGGCACGGCAAACCCTCTCGCCCCGACTCCTTTTATTTCGGCACGGCACACCCCCTCCGCCCCCCCCACCCAGCCAGCGCGCCCTCGCCCCGACCCCTTATTTCGGCAAGGCACACCCTCCGCCCCGACCCCCTTATTCGGCACTCACACCCCCCGCATCGCCACCCACCAGCCAGCGCGCCTTCCGCCCGACGGCACGGCACACCATCCGCCCCGACCCCTTTTATTTCGGCACGGCACACCCCCTCCGCATCCCCCCCAACCAGCCAGCGGCGCCCCTTCCGCCCCGACCCCTTTATTTCGGCACGGCACCCCCCCCCGCATCCCCCGACTTACCGTAAGGACTTACCAGCCAGCTTACCAGCCCACGCTCCGCCCCGCGACCCCTGTAGTTCGGCACGCCCCCACTCCCTCAACGCGCGCCCCGCGCGCCCCCTCCGCATCCCCCCCCCGCCCACCAGCCAGCGCGCCCCTCCGCCCGGCGACCCCTTTATTACGCCCCCCCCCACGCACCCACCCACTCACAAGCCAGCGCGCCCACCCTCCGCCCCGACCCCTTTTATTTCGGCACCGCACACCCCTCCGATCCTCCCCCTTCCTTTTTGTGCAAGAGCCATGGCACACGTGCCACTTGTCATTATTTTGCTGCTGCCGATGATGATCATGGTGGTGCTGATGATAATGGTGATACTGATGATGATGAGTATTATGATGCTGCTGATGATGATTATGATGACGATGCTGATGATGCTGACGATGACGACGATGATGATGATGATGATGATTATGATGATGACGAGGATGATGATGATGCGAATGCTGATGATGAGGGTGATAATGATGCTGCTGATGAGGTTGATCATGGTTATACTTAAGTTGATGATGATGATGCTGGTGCTGACGATGATGCTGATGATGATGATGATGATGTTGATGACGATGATGATGATGATGGTGATGATGATGATGATGAGTATGCTGATGCTGATGATGCTGAGGATGATGCTGATGGTAGTGAGGATGACGATGATGATGCTGATGCTGATGCTGATGCTGCTGCTGCTGATGATGATGATGATGATGATGATGATGATGATGATGATGATCATCATCATGATGCTGCTGATGTTGCGGGCGATCATTGTACAACGTTGATCGCGGGCGCGAAGCAGCGGGGATGAGTTGATCGCGTTGATCGCGTTGCGTCGCGCAGTCCGCCCCTCTTGCATGGGCGAGCGCGCGAGGGGACGCGTGCGCCGCTCAGGGTTGGGAAGGGCGCCGCGCGCGCTCGGCTGGGGGGGGGTGCCCCGCCACTTTCGGCGAGGGGCACCTGCGGTGCGGCTTTTGCCCGCCCGCCGCTCCCTTGGCGGCCATTCGGCTTGGGGTGTTCGCACTGGGCGCCCGGCTAGGCTGGCGAGGCAGACGAGCGCCCGAGCCGCCGTCGGCTCGGGGCACCGCTGCGCGCTGCCAGTGTCGAGCGCCGCTCCCGTCGTCGCGGTGCGACGCGCCGAGCCGTTTGGCGTCCGCACCAAGGTTTTGTGGGTGATGATGACGTTGATAATGATGCGGATGCTGATGATGAGGATGGTGATGCTGCCGTTGATGACGATGATTCTGATTATACTTACGTTGATGCTGATGCTGACGATGATGCTGCTGCTGATGATGCTGTTGGGGATGCTAGTGACGGTGGTGCTGGTGATGCTAACACTGCTGATGAAGATGCTGCTGCTGATGATGCTTCAGATGATGCTGATGGTGATGATTCTGCTACTGCTGCTGATGATGATGTGGGTGGTCATGGTGGTGATGATGGTGATACTGATAATGCTGATGATGACGATGGTGATGCTGATGTTGTTGTAATTGTTGTTGTTGTGGTTGTTGTTGTTAAGCTCTCGCGTCTGAATAATAATTATTGTTGACCCCCCTCACTGGTGCATCTTGTTCCCCACATCCAAAGTGGGGTTCTTGGTTTCTCTGCACACCCCGCGCAGGAACACTCACCCCACCCCCTCTCCTCTTTTGCCTTCGCACACTCACTCACTCACTTATCATCATCACCACTCACTCACATTCACACTCACTCACATTCTCCCATCATCAACATCAGCATCATCACTCGCGCTCTCTCTCACACGCTCAGTCACTCACATATTCATCAGCATCATCATCATCACCATCCTCACTCGCACTCTGTCACACGCCCACTCATTCACATACTCACCTGGAGGAAGTCTCAGGCGGGAGTTCGTCTGTGAGTGAATTGTGAGGAAGTCTCAGGTGGGAGCCCCCTCCCTATGGGGCCCGCAGATCATATTGGTAATCCGAGCGGGTCATCCAAACCCTGTATCTGTCGTCATTTTCCCCACATCCTAAGTGGGGTTCTTGTTTTCTCTGCACACCCTCCGCGCAGGATCTCCTCCTCCTCCTCCTCCCTCTCCTCTGCTCTTCTTTGCTTCCTCCCCCGCATCACCATAACCATCACCATCACTCCCCACTCATCATCATCATCACCATCAGCATCACCATCACCATCGCGCGATCACTCACCATTATCGGCATCGAATGATCATCATCATCATCATACCTTCTCGCTGACTTGAGGCATGAATATGGAGGAACTATCAGGCGGGAACCTCGTCTGTGAGTGAATTGTGAGGAAGTCTCAGGCGGGAGCCCCCTCCCTATGGGGCCCGCACTTCATGTTCGGATCCGAGCGGGTCATCCGAAACGTGCAACTGTCGTCACTTTTTGGCTCTTGGGACCTGCATATGGAGGAAGTCTCGAGCGGGAGCCTCGTCTGGGAGTGAATTGTGAGGAAGTCTCAGGCGGGAACCCCCTCCCTATGGGGCCCGCACTTCATGTTCGAATCCGAGCGGGTCATCCGAAACGTGCAATTGTCGTCACTTTTGGGCTCTTGAACCTGAATATGGAGGAACTCTCGAGTGGGAGCATCGTCTGTGAGTGAATTGTGAGGAAATCTCAGGCGGGAGCCCCCTCCCTATGGGGCCCGCACTTCATGTTTGAATCCGAGCGGGTCATCCGAAACGTGCAACTGTCGTCACTTTTGGGCCCTTGAGACCTGAATATGGAGGAAGTCTCGAGCGGGAGCCTCGTCTGTGAGTGAATTGTGAGGAAATCTCAGGCGGGAACCCCCTCCCTATGAGGCCCGCGCTTCATGTTCGAATCCGAGCGGGTCATCCGAAACGTGCAACTGTCGTCACTTTTGGGTTCTTGAGACCTGAATATGGAGGAAGTCTTGAGCAGGAGCATCGTCTGGGAGTGAATTGTGAGGAAGTCTCAGGAGGGAACCCCCTCCCTATGGGGCCCGCACTTCATGTTCGAATCCGAGCGGGTCATCCGAAACGTGCAACTGTCGTCGCTTTTTGGCTCTTGGGACCTGCATGTGGAGGAAGTCTCGAGCGGGAGCCTCGTCTGGGAGTAAATTGTGAGGAAATCTCAGGCGGGAGCCCCTTCCCTATGGGGCCCGCGCTTCATGTTCGGATCCGAGCGGGTCATCCGAAACGTGCAACTGTCGTCATTTTTGGGTTCTTGAGACCTGAATATGGGGGAAGTCTCGAGCGGGAGCCTCGTTTGTGAGTGAATTGTGAGGAAGTCTCAGGCGGCAGCCCCCTCCCTATGG